ATAGGCGATAATTGTTGCAACAACTTATATCTGTGTTTCGGCAAGTCACAGACGGGATTAAATCTCAAAATTTTAATCAACATCATACAAAGTACCAGATATTTCCGACCAACCTGGATTCGTCTTCATGTGAATAGTAGAGGTTCGACACTGCGTCACTGATGTATGCTGTCGAATTGACCTATATGATTAATAGTTATAACGTTGGTTTTCCTTGTTTATAACCGACCATTTGACGTTTTGGTTCAGTTGTCGCTGACATCTGTGCCATGGTGGTGACTGACACAGCGGCTTGCACGGATCACCAGCGTTTGACTTTTTACGAGCGAGGTTTTGCTTTTATCGCTCTTCGCCTTTCATCTTATCCCAAAAGTACCGTATGCTTATGGTTTATGACATGTTCTAGTGCAGTAGAGTTTTTGTAACGTCACTTTGATATTGGGATCCATTGTTGGTTTCCGTCTTCTGCCTACTTGCATGCGCTTTTTCTCTTACATCTTCCATCTGATGAAGTTTCTTTTTGTGCTCATTCTTCTTTTCGTCAAGAATTTTGCCCATTTCTCCGATGTACACGGTTCCCCAAGTGCTGGGGAGCTTGTACACTCAACCTTGCATCTCTTCTTCCAGTGGTTAAGGCGATTGAGTTATATACCGAGTTTAAAAACGCTGTTCAGAACAACTTTAGGCGCCATATCTCGTAACATTTCGCTCAATTTACTAGCGTGTAGTCAGTTGATGTAGATCTTAGTATCAAGTAAGCAGCGAGAGATGGGTGGCCTTCATAGGTTTGCCAGACCTGTATTTAGAGTCTTCAAAGAGTAACTGTTCTTTCTCAAAGTCAGCCGTATGTGATTTAGTTCCTTGCAAAAATCACTTTCTCTGACGAATCTTCCGTCTTCTTTGGAGAGGCTTATTATCAGCACGGTCCTAACCCTTTCGGGATGTTAAGAGAAGCAATGCAGATACCGATCGGACCGTCTTCTTGCGATACACTGTTGTCGAATATTCGTGCTGTTCTTTCGCTTGAACATTCAGGTAAGCAGAACGGTAAGCTGCCATGATTTTTCTCCGTTGTGAGCAAGACCACGGCTTGACAGAGACTGTTTAGACATTCCAAGGAACAGCGTTTCCACCCCATTTTTGCCGAGATCAGAGATGTCATTGACGTACCTTTTGAAAAATGCTGGATATATCGCTTTGCCACCCGTAGTGAAGGCTAGTTCCAAATTTTCCATGAACATTTCAGATGGGAGGTCCTATTGGCATTCCCGAATTCCTTTATATTGGTAGTATAACTGACTGGTGCGTTCGAAAAAATTGAATCCATTTAGACATCATGAATAGATTAAAGATGAACTTATCGACAAAGTTATTTTATTATTTAGACCAGCGTGTTGTTTATCAAGTAGGTCCAGTTATTTATCAGTTGTTTATCAGTTATCAATTATCTCTCAGTTGTTTATCAATTAGGTCCAGTTGTTTATCAATTAGGCCTATTACAGTTTCTATGGGATGCCAGTGAAAAGGTCTTTGACATTGTAGCTCACAATGATATCTTCACCGTTGTTCGCTAAAAATATGGTCGCAACTCTTTCTGAGTTAAAAGAACGAATGAACAGCATCGATTACGACGTTTAATTCGCTTGTAAAACAAAACGAAATTTGAAAGTTGCATAAAAGCGGTTTATTCATACATCGTCATCTTTCGGGTCTCGCAGGCAGGTGCATCAGGTAGTGCTTCCAACGTTTTCGAGTCTGAGTTTCGGAAGAAGTCAGCTGGAGTCTAGCGCAGACTCCTTCCATATATCGCATTTTGACCGCCCTTGGGCCTTCTGTCTGTCGGCTGGACAAGAAACAGTTGTTTCGCTTTCCTTTCTCGAGGCATTGGCAACACGTGCCCAAACCATCGCAGCTGTGACTTCTCAATCTGGAAAAGCAAAGGCTGTATACCAAGGCTCTTCCGGATGTCAGTATTCCGGACCATGTCAAGACGCGTAAGACCAGCGACTCATCTAAGAAAGCCCATTTCAGCAGCCTGTGCCCGGGTTCGAAGCTTTTCAGTCATGATCATCGACTCATGACCGTAGGTAAACATCGGGATAAAGATCGACTTGAACAGCGAGAGTTTAGTTTTCAGACTGAGCTTTGTTTTAGACACAGTGGATCGGGCTAATTCACGCCACTGGCTACTCCAGTTCTCCGGACTACCTCTTCCTCAAATTTTTCATCACTGATGAACACGAATGCGAGGTATTTGAACTTCTCCACCTGCTCCACTGCTTCTTCATTTAGCTGAAGAGAGCAGCAGACAGGAGAACCAGAAGGCACTCTGCTTTTCGTTTTAGATACGTTCACACGCCTGCCGGCCACGTCGCACTTGGCTACCAACTTTTCCAGCTAGCACTGGAGATCAGTTTCTATGCATGCCAACCAAACAAGGTCATCTACAAACAGTAGCTTTTTCATCTCGACATTCCCACACCGATCCGCTCTTCGCTTGTTTATTCTGTCTATGTACAGCACAAACAGGGGAGGATACGGAACACAGCTTTGGCGGAGACCAGTGCCTACGCTGAAAAATTAACGTTAACGCCATTTATTCTGACGCAGCAACTGTTATCAACGTACAATGATTGGATGACCAGTAGCAACCGTCAGCTGGCGGCACCATTTCCAGACAGGTAGTGAAGAGTTTGGGGATACCCGCTGTTTCGCGCCCTACTCTAAGGGAAGTTGGGGGTCTCGAACAGCGTGATGATGTTGATGCAGCCAGAGTTACCTTTAGTAGGTTGATGTAATGAGTGTTGATGCCATATTTTTCCAGTTCAGGCCACACTGCGTTGTACTCGAGAATGTCAAACGCTTGTTCGTAGTCGTCGAATGCACATGGGTAGCTGGAATCCTACACTGACTCTCGAGAAGTTGATTGAAGTTAAAAATGTTACTCATTGTGCCGTAGCTCCTTAGGAATCGTGCTGCTCTCTTGACCGCTGTTCGTCCCGACGTGGTGACAGTCTGTTAGTGGTGATACTGGTGAACAACTTGTAGACTCGCTAGAGCAGGCAGCTTGGGCAACAGTGTTTCAGATCTTTCTTCTCGCCCTTCTTGAACAGTGCGATTGTTTTTGACACTCTCCTGCATACTAGGATCTTTTTTGTTTCCACGTAGAAACCGAATCTCTCTATGAGAGAGCTCCACAGAGTCTGTCTATCTGTTCTGATCATGTAAATTATGTCAGAAACAGTAATGAGTGTCAGAAAATCTTTCCCTACGGCTATTCCTTCCTATTTACTCCGCGGCATGCCGAACTTCGTTTATGAAGACAGGGAGTGCACTTCCTTCTGTTTATTGGAGTGATTGTGGGAGGGAGAGTACGCGTGTCTCTGACGCAAAGAGCTAGTTGTAAAAATTATTGCACATACACTATATCTCATCATTGTCAGACGTGAATTGATTATCCCCGTTCTTCAGCGCTGTGACGGTCGAATGATAAAGCGTTAACTCTCTTCTTCATTGTCCTAGGCTTCTGCGAATTTTGATTCCTTTTTAATTTTCAGAAGGTCTCAAAGTCTTTTCAAGCTTTCTTGTAATGAGCTTCTAATGAAGAGAGAATTACACCGTTTTAGTCCTTAGATGTATTCTCCGGAAGATGTTTAAAGAACTGCGAGCACTAAGGGAGGGGATTTATTATGAATCAATCTTGAAAATGTATCTCGTAAGCTTATTGTGGAAGTCGTTTAGA